TATGGACGCCATTATGTCCTTCCTGAAGACCCTCGTGCAGTGGCGGACCAGACCGTTGACCAACTGGAGAATGTCGGTAGGGCCAGAAAAGCCACCGAGTTACGTATGAGTGACATTAGTTCAAAAGACAAGGAAAAAGTGGATGCCGTGATTGAGAAAGTGAAATTCGACATTGGTGATCGTGTTAATCTCACACACGAAGGACATTTTGGTTTGGAAGCACGATTGAAAGGCCCGTTTATTGTGATGAGCAAAAAAAGACAAGTATGTTACGTATCAGCTCAAAAGCATGGAAGGCAAACCACTTGCATCCTGGGTTCACGTTGACCGCCTATACAATACAAATGGTAATGCTCCAAAAGACGCCTAGTACAACTCGACTGCCTCTCGTTTAGTATGGCGCGTTGTTATGCGACTCTTGGACTCGGAAATTCCCAATGACGTTGGTGCTTGTGGACGATCACAAAACCAGAAAGGGGGTAATTTCAGAATTGGCATCGGTGACCAAAATTGGAATTTACAAGCAACCAGTGTTTGGTTGTGGAGTCTGTTCTTCACTCAATTGTGGTGTATATACCACAGTTACAGCAGATAAAAGTCTATAGCAATAAACAGCAAGGCTTCCACGAATTATGCTCACTAGAAGCTGATAACATTGTGGTCATTAAATACTTATTATTTTATTTTATTTTTTTAAAAAAAAAAGCGAAGAAAATTATTCGTGAAGAAAAGACAACTTTAGGCAGTATTAGAGAATCTTCAGCAGTGAGTTACCTTTTAATTTATCTAAAGCCAAACACTACGACTTTAGCTAAAGAAAAGTTCACTTCATCCAGCAGTTCATTTTATCCTTTTCTTTAAATATATTTTGAGAGCGTTTTGAGTAATCAATTTAAAATTCTTGTTAACTTTGACAAAAAGATATTTAAAATAAAATAAATTGAACTGCTAGGGGTTCTAAATCTAACTAAACTTTTAAATTTGAGATAAAAACGGAGATAAAACGACTGTTGGGAATGCTCTAAGGTTTGAACTCTGGTCTTGAGAGTGAAAACACAAAAAAATACCACTGCACCAAAATATTCCTAACGAATTGACATTTTTTTTTTATAAAAAATTAAAGCTTTAATTTAAAACGTATGCTTTCTTGACAAAACATCAACTTATGGATAGGCTGTTAACTTATGGATAGTATAATTTTCTTTTAAGTATTCTTTATGGGCAGTATAAAGACGTGGCTCCTTCTCCGGATATGTCAGAACCCGATTCCCTGGATTTCCTTTCTCTGTCCCTATTTTTCTTTTTCTTTCTGTTGATATTTAAATTCCCGCTGGATTTTCAATGTTTTCTTTTTCCTATTTTTTCCTTTGACTAATTTTCTTTTTGATCATTTCTGATTATTTCCTTTTGTGATTATGCCTAAAGATCTGTACACCATTCTAGATAATCATCCTTTAGTATAAGATATATTTATGTTGTCATTTTTTACGCAGTTGCCAATTAGTATATAAGAGAAACGTTTTCATCCCAATAGAAATCATTCGATTTTCCTTTATATTGCTTTTAAATATCGTCCCTGAGTTTGAGCTATTGTTCTGTGAAAAATATTAAGTTGCCTGCTCTTGAAATCTACAAGTACTATCTCACCGCTTGTCTGTTTGCCTGTTTGTCTGTTTTTCTTTTTCTTTCCATTCACCCATTTGTCCGCTTGGCCGTTGTCCGTTTTCCTGTATGGCTGTCTCCATCAATTTCAAGTTCTGTCCCTTGTTTAAATTCTTTCTTGTTGGATTGTCCTGAGCAAAGTCATTAGAGTATAACTACGCATATATAAAAAATATGTTTTTTACCAGTTGCACCACACATCATAACTCAACGCACTTCATATTTTTCAATTTTTATTTTTCAATTTTCAACATCGTATTCCACAATTGAGTGAATAACAGACTTCACAACCAAACACTGATTCCTTCTTGCTGATAAACCTGGGAAGTTAACAAACTCTGGAACTATTGTATACCAGCCACACTTACGTCTCACGCTTAAAGTATCCACTGTGGTTTGTATAAACTCCCCGAGTATGTAAATTTATATAGACGACTTAGTTTTTTTTATCCATAACGGTTTGTCGAAATAAATGTTTTAACCAATTTTTTTACAGTTATTTAGCAGATATCTAAATTTGCCTCTTCACTAAAACACCCGAGCAATAAAAATATGTAACTGCAGGTTTAAATAAACTGCTGTGGATGCTCTTTCTTATAGAAAAATGTAACGAATTTTTTTTGTTGAATTGATTATACAAACTGTTGTTTGGGATATTTTAAAAAAAACTTGTGAATGTCACACATTTAGATCGTATATAAAAGCATTGACCTTGGAACAAGAGATAGAACATAAAACTATATATTTGTTAGTCTTTATAAAATACTTTATATCGTACGACTAGTCCCTTGATCACTCCAAAGAGACTGATTAGATAGGGGATCGTGTTATGTTTAGTGACGGTGCTGAGGCCTGTGCCTTTTTTTTTAACGAATATGGATATATCATAGTATTACAGTATCCAAAAGAAAAGTACAAGGATGACTGTATCAAATCAAGGTTGGATTGGCATGGGGGCTCCATACTAGGTTGTAGGCTGTGCGTAAGCGGGGATATTTGACTCATTGAATACCATGAAGTGTTCCACGCATTTAACTAGTATGCATACATGATCTTTGTGAAAAAAAATCTTATTCAATTTCTGGGAGTTCTCAGTGGGAACAATGATCGGGGAGTTTGTCTACAAAGAGGACAATGCTAGTTATCACAACGCTAAGCTTCTAGAAGAGTAGAATACTTATAAAAATATTGAAAGTTAGAGCTTGATATTCCAAAAGCAAAAAGCTCCTAAGGAGCTAGAAGCTGGTATTCATATGATATAGTGCCAATATCCCAAATGAAATTTTTATTTGCCAAAGTCATTAAATGCCAATACTTAATTATATACATGACATTAAAAGGGCTAATGGAAGAATTAACATACTATTGCTTTTATTTGATAATAATATTTTTTAGGCATGTGGTTGTTAAGTGAAGAGTAGACAAGTTAGAATTAGAAAGTTAAATAGGTTATGATCTTGGTTTGTCGGAACATAACAACCTGTAAGGAATACTGAGTAGGTATGGCTTTGTATATTTAAATTACTAAAACAAGAACAAGATCAAAAGTACTTCTTTGTGAGTTAAAGATATCAATATAATGTCATCCAATTATTAAATAAAAAAAAGGATTACAATACAATAAAATATTAATTATTTCTTCTTTTTTACTACAAAAGAGATATACGACACAAACCTCTGATTATTAATATAGATAAAAGCAACAATAACAATAGGATATATAAGTATCCAGTGCTTCTTCGAAATTTGCTATCTTTGGACAGAATTGTTTCTTTAACAGAACAAAGAAATGGTAGCATACTTACTGGTAAAAAAGTAGCTTACATATTCAATATACATTGCAACACTACAACAATGCATATGCGAACATATGTATATTTCAATTTACTATAAATAAAATACTCACTTCATATTTTCTTCCTTACCTTCTAAATTTCAATTTAACTTACCAATAAAAAACATGTCTGATCCGGGAAGCCCATCTAAGCCGCATAAAAAGCCCAAGTCTGAACGTAAAAAGTCCAAGTCTGCACGTAAAAAGGCCGCCACTTCATCAAGAGAGCGTAAAAGTCTGACTGGACGACCCTCTGCTTCACCCGACCCGCCAGGCGGTCCGTATGGTCAGCGTCCTGTTCGCCGTAGAAGAAGGGTAAATGACAATAAGTCTTTTTAAGATCGTACATCTAATTATATAAAATACTCGTATATATATAAAATAAATCTAGAAACGCTCTTGTATTATAATAATCACCATTGTTATTATTAATAATAATACTAATTTATAGTATATATGAAAATGTAGCTGGCGGGAATTGTTAGGAGCCTTTGTATAGAACTAAGGCGTATAGCAGACGCTATGGAAAGTGTAGACTTTGGAGACGATCCAGATAGTTCCCCCTAAAAGTAGCATTAAAAGTTCACCTAATTCTAGGAGCCTCAGACATTTGTCTCATAAATTATTAGAATTTTTTTGCATCTTATAATAAAACAGACACACACACATATGTATATATATGCCAATTAGCGTCCAAATAATTATGAGCATGTTTTTCAAAATAAATTGTGGTCCTTTAGAAGTCCATAAGCAAGAAAAGGAAACTGTAAAAATTAAATGTGGAGAAATTGCTAGTTTTGTTTTAATGAGCTTGTTAGAGAGTGTATATTAATACGGTCTATCTTGCAGTGTTTTCTTTGATACTGAATATTAGGGTGTTTCAATAGTTTTAGATGTTTAGATTTTAGAAAATACACCTTTAAGACCACCTCGGTAACCCGAAAAACTTACCAAATAACTACCCTTTAACTCCTCCATCCTCATATTTTTCTTTTTAAAAAGAATTAGTAAAGTAAAAGTGTATATGAGAAAAAAAAACAAATTAGATCTACATTTTATTTTTTCAGTACAATTTCTTGCAGAATTTTTTTTCGGTATATGGACTAAAAGTATATATTGTGGTTAGTTTAGTGGTAGGGATATTATTCAACCAAAGAAGAATAGAAAGGAAGATATATTTATGTTGGGGACCGACACGTGGGAAGGAGGGGGTGGTGGTAATGTTGATAGTTGTAGTTGTAGTTGTAGTGGTAGTGGTAGTGGTAGTGGTAGTGGTCGTAGTGTTTTAGAGTGTAAGAATTAAATTCTATATATATATATATGTGTGTGTGTGTACAATGTAGTGTATATTACTAATGACTTATTTAATGCAAGTTATAAAGAGCTATTGACTATAATTTCTGTATATAATATTTCAGCAGTAGATCTATATATATTTATGCATGTAAATCTAAATTAAAATGTTTTCGTGGTAGTATGGTGTGGGAGGTCTGAAGATGACAGCTATATAGTTGATGAAGTTACCTTAATTTATTTACATAAAGATTGTTTTTTTTGTTCTTTGTTTCGAGTATGAAAATGAAGGGAAAGAAAAGGATGTACTACAGGATTACTTGGGGTGATTGAATTAAATATCACTTCATTTATAGAGAAAGTCTAACGAGAAATTTATAGATGATTGCTGATAACGATAATAATGTCATTTGAAGTAAGTAAGTAAAAAAAAAACAAGCAAGAGCCTATTTAAATAGAGTGGTTACTCATGCAATCAAGTGACATTTATTAAGTTAAATATTGGAACACTTAATTTGAGAAAATCCCAAAAAAAGAAAGGGGAGTGCGACTAGAATTTCGAATATATGGTAAAAAGACTAAATCTTAAAGAGAAAATAAATCAGATCCAATTGTTTCTCATTATTATATACATACTATTATTAAATATGTGGATCGATGGATAAATGATAAATGATAAATGATAAATGATAATAAGCAAAATAAAATACACTATAAACTATTATGGACGTGCGTCAATTAGACACCAAAATCATCTTATAATAGTATATAATAATAATCAGTAGGTTCTCATTGTTCCGCGGTAAGAGGTATTTTTAAAACACACTGTCACTAAAACAAAATTGATAATTGGACGTATAAAATATACTTGTATTTTTTTCCAAAATAAAAATATTGATAATGATAATGATAATGATAATGATAATAGTAATGATAATAATAATGGTAATGGAAATGAGAATGGTAATGGTTATGATAATGATAATGGTTATGGTAATGACAATATTATAAAGCGTGTATGTATATATTCATAAAGAGGTAATTGGAATCATCATAGGATGTGTAGAGGGAAGATTGAGGAGGGGATAAAAGAAACAAAACGAAAAGTTAGGAGCTTATATATTAAAACAAGGAAAACAGTAAGAAAATCAAATAGGGCAAAAAATAAAGACAAGGGAAAGCAAAAATATAAGAAAAAAAAATGAAATGAAATGAAATGAAATGACAAAAGATAATGTAAAGATCAAACTAGAGAGATAGATATAAAAGGAAAATATTGGAGCATATAAAGAGGGAATAAAGATAGAGAAAGAAAGATTATATAAAGAGGTTTGCATAATAGTGATAATTACGGGGATTGGAAGAGAGGGAAAGTCGACAGAGGTGGAGATGGTTGCTGTTGCTGTTGCTGTTGCTGTTGTGGGTGTTGTTGAATCTGTTGTGGATAGCCTTGTTGACCATTCATGGCTTGGGTGTAGTTTATTTGTTGCTGTTGTTCGCGCTGTTTGTTCATTGCGTGGTAGTTTGCAGCCGAGGCAATCAAAGGCAAAAGCTCTGGCGGTAAGCTGTTGAGATGAACACCGATAGACTCGAGAATAGAGTACACCTGTGCAGAAGATCCCTGAGTCTGTTGTTGCTGTTGTTGTTGTGCTTGTTGATGTTGCTGCTGCTGCTGTGCCTGCTGCTGTGCCTGTTGTTGTGCCTGTTGTTGTGCCTGTTGTTGTGCCTGTTGTTGTGCCTGTTGTTGTGCCTGTTGTTGTGCCTGTTGTTGTGCCTGTTGTTGTGCCTGTTGATGTGCCTGTTGTTGTTGTTGTTGTTGTTGCTGTTGTTGTGATACTGGTCTGTGAGTCGAATAACTATTTGGGGCACATGTCAAAACACTTGATGGAGAAGATGAAATGGAAGGTAAAAGGGACGGTGGTGGTGAAGGTGAAGGTTGATGGTTAGAATACGGCTGAACATATGATTGTTGGAGGTACATAGGCGCAGACGGAGGGGCTGCATAAGGATCAAAGATAGGTTGTGCTTGGTAAGGCACCTGCATGAATGTGTCTGGAAGAGAAGAAGAAAGTGATTCAGGTGGTGGTGAAGCCGAGTGGGCAGGGCTGTAGAGAGGTTGCTGAGAAGGTGTGCGGCGTTGACGTTTCTTGAGTGAATGTATTGGGCGGGAAGGTCCTGAAAAACTCATGGCGCGGGTAGTGTTGCTTGGGTGAGACATGTCTGATACTTCTTGGGATTTCTCAACCGCGACCGCGCTGGCACTGCTGTTGCTTTCCTGTTGACGTAGGCTCATGTCTTGCAACTGTTGTATTTCAGTACCAGCCGAAGAGGCTGTTCGCAACTTTGGACGACTGGCACCACTGTGAGTGTTAGTACTACTACTACTGGCACTGACACTTGCTCGGTTACGTTTCTTGATGATGTCTGTCTTGAGACTCAATGGACGTACGACGCCATGTAATTTGAGAAACAGACCACACGCATTACAGAGCGGCATTCCATGGGCATCACGACGCCACAAGGGAGTGGTGGTTGTCTTGCAGTTCGTACACGTGGTTTTTGACTGGGTTTGCATTTTCTGTTTGAGTGGTGGTTCATCGTTACTCTTGACCGAGCAGGCCGAGGACTGCGGAGAGTGAGGTTTCGAAAAATGGTCGGGTGAAGGTGGAGTGTTCTCTCCATAGTACATCGTTAACAATTCTTCGAAGCTTAGCGAGCCTGCGTTGAGATGGGGTTGAGGGTTTTCGGTCGAGGGAGTGACGGGTGTGGATGGCGAGTCTCCGAAAAAAAAGCTGGGTGATGATGGTGTTGGAGATGTATGGTATGCGGTGTGTTGAAGGAGTGGATTCGGCTCATACGGACTACTTGCTGAATAAGAGATTGGAGGTTCTTCCATTTCATGATCATGAGCAGGTATGGCGATACTATGCATTGTCTTTGGCTTTTTCTACAAGGAAAATAATAATGGTGAATAAATGAATCATTGAATCAATTCAAAGATCTTACTAATTATATACATGTGTATATATGTATGTGATTTAATCTATATACTTACAGAAGTGTCTTTGAGGGCACGAGTACTACCCGAGATCATAACATTACAATCTTTTTGCTCAAGGGGTTCTCTCAAAAAGTCCATCATGTAAGGTGGTGCGGAAGATGACAGGAGTGTGGTTGTGTCGTCTGAGAGTGGAGGTGATTTGGGGGAAGGGGAGGGGGTTTCTGACTCCACCAGTCCAGCCTTCTCGTCCTTCTTCTTTGTGAGGTTCATTGCCATCATGCGCCAGGTGAGGTTCTCTAGGCGAGATCCATTTGGTAAGCTATCCTTGGCTTTGGTGTACATTCGCCAGACTTGGCTAGAGAGTGGATCCTTTATTTCTGGTTCATCTTTTCGTTGAGGGAAGAGCGCGTGGCCGAGGACTTGGTCGGCAAGATCTGCGTGCTTCAACACCTTTGACTCTTTTGGGGCCATGACAGTTTTTTCTTTTTCTTTTATATATATAAAAATATATATAATATATATTATAAATTATATTTTTGGGAATAAAGAAGTGGAAAGAAAGAAAGGAGTGCAAGTCTTTAATTGACTTTTAAAAATAAAAGGCGCTCTGTTTTATTTATATATATTTATTCATGTGTTTTACAATATTAAACCCGCTCTTGTCTCTCTCTCTGTTTCTCTTTTTTTTTTGCAACTGTTCAATACTTTTTTTTTCTTCCCTTAGCCGAGAGATCGCTGATTATTTCAGTCGCCGTTCTTCCCGCTCTTGTGTTCCTATGGCAACTGGTACATGTGACTGGGTAGGCACTTATCGACGACAAGATAAGCCAATTCACTAATAAGAAAATATAATAAAAAGGGTTCAACCAACCAAAAACTCAGTTGTAATCTAAGGCTATGTACATATATATATGTGTGTAAAGTACCAATGTATTTAAATATATATATAATAATAATAATAAAAAAAAGCCCTGTTGGATTTCTCGACCACTAGAACAGAAATTGTACTTCTTCTTTTATGGGGTTCTTTTTCTTTTTCTTTTTTGTAAAGAAGTAGAAAGTTTCCGCCCCCCTTTTAATATTAAAAGAACATTGATCGCATGCCCTTTCGTCAAGGTACGCATGGCTCAACCAAAAAGAATAATAATAACAATAATAGGCCAACCCGGTCACTCCCGACAATAAAAATAAAATAAAAATAAAAATAAAAACACAACCAAATAAATAAATAAAAACAGACAGACAGACAGACAAACAGACAGACAGACAGACAAACAGACAGACAGACAGACACTCTGCACACACGCACACACACACACACAGACAAATCATTTATCACTCTTTCTCCTTTCCCTTACTCTCTTTGTCTTTTTCTCCCTCTTTCCCTCCCTCCTCTTTATTTCTTTATCTCTCTGCTTATTTTCTTCCTCTTCTCTCTCTCCCCTATTAATATTCATAGTATATATATATACAAATTTGTATGTGTATGTGTGTGTGTAATTTTGTTTTGTACTTTAAATAATGTTAATATAATACAAATAAAAAAAAACTGGCTTTAACCATTCAATAGTCTTCAATTGGTTCAAATACCATCTCTATTTTCTTTATTCTCCCCAAAATTCAAATCTATATACATCTTGTTTTTTTTTCTATTTTACTGTTTATTTCGATCGCCTTTTATTTTATCTTATAAGGGCGATTAGATGGGTGCCTCGTCAAATGTGGTTCGTTTGCCTAACAAGCTTATCTAAAGTTGGCCTAATTAGGACATGGCGTATCTTTGGGCACTCCGATCCGTACAATATATGTCACATGGACAAAGCACCAAAAGGCAACATCATTTATTCGGAAACAGCAGATTTGATTTATTGTATTCATGTATAAATAAATAAAAATATCAAATATTGAATACCAAAAATGGACACTACACAGAAATACAAAAAAAAAGAGATAAAAAATGATAATTATGATAATTATAATAAAAAATAGTAAACAGTAAATATTAAGGCTGAAACTATAATAACAATAACAATAACAATAAATATAAATATAAATATAAAATAAACTCATACGATCTGAATAACCATGGCAATATACAATTATTTTGTTGTCATGGAAATAAATAAAATAGAAAAATAATAAGCTAAATTTGTTGTTATGGAGCATATTTATATTCTGGATTTGTTACCATGGAAACAAAAAAAAAGTAACTTTTTTTAAGGCACATAAAAGATAATAATAAAATATAATGGCTACATTAAAATACAATACAATACATAGATAAGAACTAGATAATAGCGATAGAAAAAAAAGGGAAGTACAAAAGAATTGACTTGTACAAACCCTGTTTATATATATATATTTATTGGTTTTTATTCTCTCTTATTTCATTTTGTTCATTTCACGTGGCATGAAGCATAATACAATACAATACAAAAAAGACTTTCAAACAATTAAATACGTAAGAATGATTATAAAGTGTAAAAAAAATGATGATTGTAGGTCTCTTAAATCAGCCTTGTTAATGGGAGTACAATCGATTATCTTAAAAGTATAATATATCTTTTTATATAAATAAATAAAATATTTCTTCTTTTCCTTTCTTTTCTTTTATTTTATTTTTCATTTTATTTTTATTTGGATTTCAATACTTGCTATATATGTGCGTGTACATGTTTGGATGTGTGTAGTAGCGTCTTTCCCCCCTTAGTTTATTTTATTTTTGGGCTATTTCTCTTATTGTACTGTCAAACGATTAATTGTTCTCTTTCTACCTTCACCAACGATTCTGATATCACCCTGAGTTTCCATTGCTCTCAATGCCTCCTCAAATGCACGGTTCTCAATAGGCTACAAAAATATTAAAATACTCAGTAATCATAACAACAGGCATAATAATAAAAGAAAGTTACCATATTGCTTTGAGCATTAAAGTCATTCAACAGACGTGTCCATCCAATTCTTGTTTCGCTATAGTTGTTCAGGAGCACCTTGAGTTCACGAACAAAATCATCCTGAAGATGACGATCATGCGAACCGTGTCCCATCAAAATAAGATCCATGTCAATGCGTCCGGTCTTGGGATCAATTGCATAATCCTTGATTGCCTCTCTCAGTAGACGCGAAGCCTCGACTACATCAGACACCTCAACAGTATCAGACAGTCGCATGCGTGCATGTGCCTCGGCCATACGAATCATGGATTCCAACTGACGGGTAGTGGCAGTCACTCGCTTTTCCTGTCCACCCTGACCCTGACCTTGTTGTCTGAGTTCAACATATGAATCAATTAGGTGTCGCCCGGCTTCTTCGGTTAGTGCAGGTTGGATGTTCTCGCGTGCATAATTGATGTACTTCGTCAGCATCTCTACAGAGAAGATATCTATTCCAGCTGTCAAAAGATCGTTTTCGAGATAGAGTGACACCAAATGTCTTGCAAGGCGACGATCAGCATCTTCATCAACACGGTCCAGAATCAAATACAACAAATCAAATCTATAGAAAATAAGTTTAAACAAAAAGAGAAAAAAGAGTAATTAATATCTAATCTTAAATGCCTAAAAAAACTTATCTTTTTATCTTTTATCCTTATCTATCTTTCTATTTCTCTTTATGTCATTTTTTTCGTTTGACACGGCCCACTAGCCATTTTGATTTTTCTTTTACCTAGACAACAGAGGTGGAGGAAGGTTCAAATTGGCTGGAACAGACATGTTCTTGTTCCACCGCGATCCGATTGGATTAGCGCACGCACAGATAGAGGTACGTGCATTGAGTGTGGTGATAATTCCAGCCTTTGCAACCGAAATGGTCTGCTGCTCCATAACTTCATGAAGCACTGATCGTGTAGCATCAGACATCTTGTCAAACTCATCAATACAGCATACACCACCATCACTGAGGACCAGGGCACCGCTCTCCAGCACTAATTGGCGTGAGTCGGGATCGCGTGTGATGTAAGCCGTGAGACCAACTGCAGAGGAACCCTTTCCGGAAGTATAGACACCTCGAGGTGCAATCTTGTGTACGTACTGGAGAATTTGAGATTTACTTGTTCCAGGATCACCGACCAATAGAATATTAATCTCGCCACTATTACCGTATTGGGATATTTTCACACATTAGTCAGTCAGTCAGTCAATTAGTTTAGCTAGTATATCTTATCATCCCACACATGTACAAGAAACACACACACACACACATATATATATATAAGCACTCCAGCCCCAAATTTAAAATAATTATAAAACCAAAAAAGAAAATGTGATTTCTTTGTGTTATTTTTTACTTTACCGGAATCTAGGTGATCCTGACTTTTTGAACACCTTATGAGCACCACCAAATAACTGTAGCAGAATACCCTTTTTGACATCATCCAATTCGTAAATACTTGGTGCTGTGTTTTTGTTATATTATATGTATTATTAAAAGAGAGAGCGAGAGAAGCCATGCAGCCACAATAATATCGTTTTATATAGCATAAATAGATAGATACATATTAGAAATCATCTCCAATTCCCACTTGCCACAAACGTTTTGTCTTACCAAGAGAGCGTGCTAGTTTATCATACAAATTATCACTCATAGCCATTTGGCGAACCATTTCTTCGTCATTTGAATTAACTTGTTCAACTTCATCACCTTCCTCATAACTATTATATGTATATACAAAGAAAAAATATTGTCAATACTTTTTTTAGTTTCTTTTTCTTGCCATTATTATTATTATTATTATTATTATTATTATTATTATTATTATTATTATTATTATTATTATGTAATAAAGTAAAAAAAATAAAAACATCAATTAATTATTATTATTAAACTTACGCTTCTGGGCCAAATTCTGATTGAAGTGTCTTGTCCACATGCATTCGTTTTTTGTCTGTACGTTTAATGTGTACAACATCAAGATAAGTTCTGAAAAGTGCCCGGATCGTGCGCTGGCGTGGGTTGACTCTGACTGGAACACCACGGAAAATACCCGTGACCTCAAGACTTTACATATAAATAAAATATTATATAAAATGATAATTTCCTATCAGTATTCAAAAAAAATCTCCATAGTAATAATAATCATAATAATAATTACACACACACATTTATATCCCCAAAAAAATCATATTCAAAAAAAAATTCAAAATATATATTATTATTTTTACTTTACCGATCACCAGGCTTGGCAACGTCTACCATTTCATCGTATATGCATACTGTGACTGTCTGTGGTGTCTGACCGTCAGGTACAACATCTTTAATTAAAGTAGGGTAAAATATAAAACATATATACATATACATATATATTTAATACACATGTGAAGATTTTAAATACACACACACACACAAATATACATATATACATTACCTGGAGTTTCTTGAAGTCGGGAGACTTGTTTATCAGAAAATTCGCATCGATTGTGTACAAGTGCCATAGTGTTTTCGGATCTACATTGCTCTCTTGGACAATGCTTGGGTTCAATAATACGTCCACGATCCACACCCACGGTCAAGGTGTAGTCACAAACCAAACATCTAAAGAAACCTAAATGTGTGTTTGTGTTTATGTGAGTATGATAATGAGAAAAAAAAAGGTATGACCATTAGAATTAAATTTATAAAAGCCTCTTGTAAACCACAAAATAATATATCTTACCTTTTCTCATATCAGGAATAACAGGAGAAGCACGAATCAAGAGACCCTTGATGGTAATCAATTGATCCACATCTAGTAAACACAAAAAAAATCAATTCAATTCAATTCAATTTCACTTATATGTATATATCTCGATACTTACTCTGGGGATCAAGATCACGCAGATTGACAGCCTCATGAAGGTTGAATGGGCGAACCTTTAATTTGTCGTCTTCATCATCAGGATATATTTCAAAGTAATAACAGGTAATTATGTGATCCATCAATGGAATGATTTCTTGAGGGTACTTTAACAGTTGTTCGTACAGGACCTTGGTGCCAGAATAAGCACGCAGGTTACCACAATCCAAATTCACACAAACGTTTCCAGTTTGATGAACCTATATACATATATATATATATATATATATATATAATCAATCGATAAGTATATATAGTTCCTTCCTCTTCATCTTCATTTTTTGTTTGTTTTGTATATAAACATATACATATTATCAAACTCACTTTGTGTAAAAGTTGAGGATAAAGTGGTTCTCTAGAATCAGGTAGTCTGAAATTGACCAAAAAATTCTTAAAGGAAACCATTGCATCCTGCACATTGATCGAGGTACCCCAAACCACACGTGTAGCCATCAAGGGATCGTCTTCCTGAGTATCCATAGCAGGTACCGAGGGAGTACCTGGGGTTTGGCCTGTACGCGATCCGAGATAAGGTGTGCGAACAAAGGTTGTGCGAGGTGTACGAGGAGTCGATGGAGAGTTATAGCTGTTGATACCCGAGCGAATAGGTGTTCCTGGATAAAGAAGAGGTGATGAAGGTGCATAGTCATCGTTCATCAGTGCCGAAGATAGTTCGGATCGACGGAATCTCGAACGTGCCTGAGAGGGTGATCCGGGTGTACGGGCGTAGTTGACAGGTGAAGACATTTCATACAATGCCGAGCGAGGATCTGTGTATCGAGTGAATCGTTGAGGCGTCTCTGGTTGAGCACCTGGGGTTGATGCGTAATTGTATCCAGGAGTGGTAGGATAACCAGCTCCGGGTGTCGAAGGATAGTGATTTCCTGGTGTCGAAGGATAGCCGGCTCCAGGTGTCGAAGGATAACCGGCTCCAGGTGTCGAAGGATAACCGGCTCCAGGTGTCGAAGGATAACCGGCTCCAGGTGTCGAAGGGTATCCTCCACCAGGAGTGGTTGGATTGGCATTGCCTTGAGGTGTAGACGGTTGTTGACTCATGACTGACTATTTAAGTTGTGGTTGTTGCTGTTGTTATACGAGTGTCGTTTTTTTTTCGTCGCCTTCCTGTTTCGTCGTTATTCTTATTGATGCTATTAACGTCGGTGGTCTTTTTATTTATTTATTTGTTTGTTTGTTTGTTTGTTTTTGGATCGTATTTGTGAATGACAAGGTTTCTTTGTAATGCGTCTAAAAAACTGAGTTGAATAAAAGACAGCAAAAGAAAAAAATAAAGATAAATAAATAAATATTCATATTCATATCTATATTTTCAAAGAGGAATTGTTGTCTTTACTGTATATATAAATATTCTTTACTCTATATCATATACATATACGTATACATATACATGTATATAATACCTACAAAGCTTGTTCACTTGTATATATTTCACAAACCAAACCAAACCAATATATATATATAAATATAAATATAAAATATTACTCCAACTATTCACACTATACAACACACACACACACAAAATAAAATATTTAAAAAAAATTGTTTTTTTTTAAAATAAATAAATAAATAATAAAATAACAATTAAAAATTAAAAATTCCAAGACGCGCGTCTCAAAAAAGGAAATTTCGTGAGCTGACGTAGACAGCAGTCCTGCTCTTTGTCCTTTTGGCTTCCAAAGCTTGTTTGGTCCCATTTTTATTATTATTTATATTTTTTCCAACTTACGTATATATTCATCATGAGTTTGACAAAATCAGATCCCAATAAACAAGGATGGGAAGACTCGGTGCGCATTGACTCCTTTTTTCTTAAAATAAAATCAAATAAAAAAGAAGCTTATATAATAGTCATTCTCAAAGAAAAATCCATAGATATAAATTTAAATAAACGAATGAACGAATAAATGAAAGAAAATATAGGAGAGAAACAGCTTTACTCATTTGGTATATTTATTAGGAATTCCCAATCGTCTGTGAAACTTGTTTAGGAGACAATCCGTATGTCCGCATGGTAAATTACTGTTTAGTGCACAAAAGTTTATTCATTTGTAATTAACATTTTTCTGTTTTCTGTTTATTATTTATTTATTTAATAGACAAAGCAGCCTTACGGAAAAGAATGCAAAGTAAATAAACTGTCAAAGATTAGAAGATGAAAAGAAAGAAAGAAAGAAAGAGATGGAGAGATTACATATATATAGCTACACATGTTTAATGCAGGAATTACAACAGCAATAATGACGACGACAAAATAAAGAAGCAAAGAAAAAAAATATGAGAAAAGGATGGATGACTTACATGATCTATCATCTTAGATCTGCGCTCGCCCATTTACTGTCTTTCGTTGGTTACCTGGCACAAATATGCGTTACAAAAAGACTGAGATTTGTCAGATTTGTGCAAAGGTAAAGCATGTCTGTCAAACATGTGTATTGGATCTACAATACGGTAATTTCTACTGCTACTACTATTATTTTTATTATTTTTGTTTTATATATATATATATGCATTATATGTATAGTGTATTAGAATTTCTAATTAACTTTATATATATATATATTTGCTGCTGTGTCTCTAGGCCTTCCTGTTCAGGTCAGAGATAGTGCTTTACAAATTCAGTCTAGTGCACCAACCACAGATGTCAACAGACAATACTATGCTCAGAATGTAGCAAATAAGGTACGCACGAGGATGCACAAAGAAAGAAAGAAAGAAAGAAATAATATCAATATATATATATATTGAATTTAAACACTAAAATATTATTGCTGTCTTATATATATATATCTGTGTGTGTGTGGATAATATTTGTAGCTGGAAGAAGATAAGAATTTGTATGATTCTGGAAAGGCAACCCCGGCTAGTCGTGAAATTCTTCGAAGATTGGCTAGATCAGAACCATTCTACAAACGTAACAGAGCACACATTTGTTCATTCTTTGTCAAGGGTGAATGTAAACGCGGAACCGAATGTCCATACAGGTAATCATATAAATAGCGGTAATGATAATGATAATGATAATCAGAAAAGAATAGAAAGAAAAGGAAAAGAAAGGGAGATCAAAATATACCCTCTGTTGAATATGAATATATGCAAATATAGAAAATATAGAAAACGTGAATAAATGTAGGGCGCGGGTGGGGTTAGAATAGAATCACACACACACACACACACACGCGCGCGCGCGCGTGGATAGGACAAAAGTGACTAACTAAAACTTAATGCCGTTATTTCATTTGTCTATCGATATTTTTTTTAGACACGAACTTCCAGGTGATAGTGATATTACTCAACAAAACATTAAAGACCGCTACTATGGCTCGAACGATCCTGTTGCAAAGAAGATGCTTACAAGAGTCAGAGGTGGAAATAACTCGCTGGATCCACCGACTGACAAAGCTGTGGTAAGTGAATAAATGAACAAAGAGAAACAGAAAAAGATAAAGGGAAACTGAAATTAAAATTGAAAATGAGCATAATTTCTTAACCTTGATGTCAATATTAATATTATTATTACTATTATTTCTCTAGACTTCTTTGTTTGTTACTGGAGTTGAAGAAGATCTTTCAGAATCTGACATCAGGTAAAATAGATTAATAGAAAAGCTTTAGACTCTTCATTGAGTAATTGGGATACATAGATTGAGATTTTAGTACAGGCGCTTATATATTTTTTTTGCTTTAAATTTTATAATACTAATCATAAAAATCAGAGGATTTTTTTATGCATTTGGAGAGATTAAATCGATTGTGGTTATCTACAAATCGAAATGTGCATTTGTAAACTTTATTACCCGCAAGGCTGCCGAAGCTGCTGCTGAAAAGGTTTATGAGGTTGGTTTGAACATCAAGGGTTTCCCTCTCCGTGTTGCGTGGGGTAGACCAAGACCTATTGGACCAAAGTCAGAAGTAAAGGCACCAGGTAAAGAAAAAAGAATTAAATCGATGATTATATACATATATTTAAAATTATTCTTTGGGAGGCTGTGTAATATATATGTTTATTAATCTTTTTCTTATTTATAACAAAACGCAACATAGTTACACCTACCGACTTTGCATCTTTGCAACCACCCGCACCTCCTTCAATGTCCTTTGACAAAGAAGATTCTGTAAAGTACCCGAGTCAAGATCCAACATTGCAGGGTTCCAACGCCAGCAAAGCCTAAAAAAACACTTCTTTTTTTAATTTTTTTTTCTTATTCTTATTCTTTTAAACCAAGAACACATACGCACATCCACCCAACACATCCAATACAAATGTACACAAACAAACGCAGACAGAAACAACCGAAACTGTCATATAAAATGCATTTTTCTTTAAAAGATCATTAACAGATACACAGAAGAGACGGACACAATCCTCTTGTTTACGATCGTTATATTACTATTCCGCTTTTATAAAATGATCTTGGACATCAAGCTCATCATAGATATTAAACAAAGAGAACTGTATTTCTATCGGCGATGTATATAATCAATGAAAAAGAATCAGCGTTTTTATTTTTGGATACTTTGTGTCATTTAGATTTAGAATAACGGATCATGATTATGTATTATATAAACATATAAAAGAGATAAATAAATAAAGAAAAAAAATGTCAAGACTCTAATTGGATTTCATTATTCATCGCTTTTTCCTCTCTGGATTTGCACCGATTGGTTCAAAGCGTACGATTACATTATAATTTTATGACGCACAATGTGCTGGTTGCCTTTGGGGGTTTTCTCTCTTCATCATTGTATTATATAATATACATATATAAAGAAATGAGAGAGAAAAAGATAAGTGAGTTTGTTTTATTTATTTATACTAAAGCAAAATATATAGGCATCTTCTTGTGGTATAATATGGAGAACTTCCACTCACCCAGTCTCGTCCTCTTCTCTCTCTCTCTCTCTATCTCTTTCCTCCTATTTCCTTTATCTGATTCATTATAATTGATTTATACACATATATACAAGTCTATTCTTATCAGACAAGAGATAAAGATTTATATATATATATTTGTGTGTCGTTTTGTGCGCCAAGCTGGTACCACTTGGAAGAAATAAGCAACAGTTTACCCAAAAATAGTATCTACACATGGATAAGTATTTATAAATCTAATACATTTATAGATAAAATTTTCTAGATTTTGTTTCTTTTTCGTATACATCAAGATTTTGCCTTTTAAGCCTTCTTAAGTTTTCCCGGTTTTATCATTATTATTATTATTATCATTATCATTATCACTGTCACTGTCACTGTCACTGTCACTATGACTATGACTATTACTATGAATATTGAAATAACTATTAGCAGTTTTTAACAATCTTTATAATCTATTATTTATTTCTTAACATTGATAAACTTTTACCTCTCGATATATTGCTAGGAATGTTTCTTCTCTTCTTTTCTCTCTCTTTTTTTTTACATGTAAAAAAGTCTTTATTCACCATCACTATAATCAAGTATATGTACAATATTCACCCATACTCATACTCATAGCAATACTCATATCTGTAACCACACATACTACACACACAACTGCCTACTAATTTAAATATGTATATAAACTACTATGAATACGCATTTCTTTATTGATTTATTTGTGTGGTTATTTATGATCTTTATTTTGTTTTTTGGGGGGTTTTTTTTTGCTTGCTTGCATGCATGTTTGTTTGTTTGTTTGTTTACGATGTGTACCATTCGACATAAACGTAAATACATGCACTAATTTTACAAGACAACAGCAAAAAAAAAGAAACGCAAAAGGATTGTTTTAATGGATCTTATCTGACGTTTAAATTCCAAATTAATTCTGATTACTTTTTCATTTAGGACTTCCATTTTTAGATAAACCTTTAATGATTTCCCACTCAATGGTTTGTGCCTGGGTTTATTGGATCCTGTGTCGATCACTATTTTAATAGCCGCCTAAACGTTGTCAAACACCGAAATAAAGAGAGAAACAAATAAAATAAAATAAAAATATATTTCAAGACAATTTAACTTTTTTTTATATATATATAAATATATATATACACATATATACATTTATTTATTTATTTTTTGATTATTTAAAAATTAATTAATTATATATATATATATACATATACATACACAGTGTACATATATAACTAGGATGCCTGTCATCTCATCTACTCAAAGGAAACCAATCTTGGTTTCTCTTGTGGTCTTCATCCTTGTAATCGTCTTCTTCCTCTCTCCTTACCAGTCAACATCAATTGCGCCATCTTCCGTTCCTCCCAAGAATGTCGTGCCACATGAGTTTGTAATGCCTCCAGATGAAGAGCAATTCAAGGAACCTGCCTGGAAGAATACCACCAGAGCAAAGGCTGCTTTTGTTATCCTCACAAGAAACTCGGAACTGGATGATCTGCGAAAGACTATCCAGCAATTAGAAGCTCGATTCAACAGCAAATTCAATTACCCCTATGTCTTTTTGAACGATGAGCCATTCACAGATGAATTCAAGGAACTTACTTCAGGATTGACAAAAGCAGAAACAAAATATGGTAAGTGGTATATAACAATTTATTATTTATTCTATTAAAAAAAAGAAAAAAAAAACATTATAAGAAAAGTGAGGGGATGGAGGGGGAGGGGGAAAGGGAATTAATGCTGTCTTTAATGACTTACAATATATGTGGATGTGTGGGTATGTGTACTTACTTTCTTTCATTTCCTTTTTGTTTTTGAATCATTAAGGCTTGATTCCTCAGGAACATTGGGGATATCCAGAGTGGATTGATGTTGAAAAGGCTGACAAGTTACGCCACAAGATGGGTAAAGATGGTATCTTGTACGGTGACAATCTTTCATATCGCCATATGTGCAGGTAAAGAACACATGCATATATACATACCTACATACATACACAATGTGCTTGTATTGTATACGATCTTTTTTCTTTAAAAAAATGGTCTTACACTAATTCAATTGACTTTATTTGTTTTGAAAAAAAAAATAGATTCGAGAGTGGCTTCTTTTTCAGACACCCTTTGATGCTCGAGTATGAGTTTTATTGGTAAGACTTTTTCTTTAAAAAAATTGTAACTCATTAGTCAACAAAGCATAAGCATCAGCAGTAGCAGTAGCAGTAGCAGTAATAATAGCAATGACAAAAGTATTAATTAAAACAAAATAAATAGGCGTGTGGAACCAAGTGTAGAGTTCTTTTGCGATCTCGATTATGATCCATTCCTGTACATGAAGGAAAACAACAAGAAATACGGTAAACTTTTGTTTAAAGCATATGTTTTTGGGCTTTTGACTAGAATTTATTTTATTTATTTTTTAAACATCATTACTATTATTTTAATTTACTCAAATTTCAAATTTCTAATAACTGTACATACACTCACAGGTTGGACTATTTCTCTTTTGGAGTACGAGTCTACTATTCCTACATTGTGGGAAACAACCAAGAAATTCATGAAGGAATATCCTCAATATATCCCCGAAAACAACCTCATTGACTTGATATCCAACAATGGAGGAGGTTCTTACAACCTGTGCCATTTCTGGAGTAATTTTGAGATTGGAGACCTCAAGTTCCTCCGTAGCCCTGAGTACACAGCCTACTTTGAATACCTCGATCGTGCTGGTGGATTCTTTTATGAAAGGTAAGTAAAATAATATATATATATATATATATTTGGTATTGATACTATTTTTTATTATTATTATTTAGATGGGGAGATGCTCCTGTCCATTCAATTGCTGTAGGAATGTTCCTTAACCAGTCTGAAGTACACTTCTTTAATGATATTGGTTACAAGCACGCTCCTTTTATGCACTGTCCTATCTCAAGAGAATTGCAAAAGAAGTGCCATTGTGATGCAGGAGAAAACTTTGGTATGTCAATGATTTTTATCATTTGTTTATTTATATTTTTATTGTTGAATGTTGTGGGTTTTGTTTTCACTCCATATGTGCGTGAGAAAGAGAGATTATATATTAATGCTTTTTTTTGGTCTGTAGATTTCACTGAGAGTTCTTGTATGAGAAAGTGGATTTCTGTTACAGAGTAGAAAAAACAACAACACCAACAACAATAACAGCTCCATCCTCCTCCTCACAGTATTGAAATATCAATATTCCTTAGTCTCTGTACTATCATTATCATTTCACTTTATATATAAATATCCACACACACACATATATATATATATATATATATATCATTACAATAGAACATTCAAGTAGCTTGTTTTCTGTTTTTACTCTTCATTACTTTTTTCTTCAAAAGGAAACAAAAGATGAAAATAAACAAGTAGACCTTTTTTTTTTTATAAAAAAAACTAAAAACTAAAAACCAAATAAACAACAGCAAAAATATATATATATATATCTTTGTGAATTGACCTGTATATCTGTAATTACAAACTTGTGTAAAGGGAGAAAGTATATGTGATTATAGGGAGTAAACTCTCCTTTATACAATTCAGTAAATGCCATTATTTTTTCTTGATGTGGCGTTTGGTTGTAATAATCAAGTTGATAGATATAGTGAATAATCTAATTGATACAATGTACTTTTTCTTCTTCTTTGGTTTCCTTAATTGCCATAGCGTGTCTCTTGTCGGTTAAAATTTAGGTATTGTCAATTAACACCTTGCCTCCTCTTTAACAATTAACACCCTTTTCTAATCTCAAAACAGAAAGAATAAAGGACTTGCATAATATTAGGCTTAATGGATAAATCTTGATCATTACCTTTATTTTTTAAAAAAAAGGCAGCAAAGGATAAGCTCCTTATTCGATATATATAGTATTATTATGTTTTATTAATCCCAACACTTGTATATTTATAATTAAATACATTGAGAAATCATAGGCTTCCTTGAGGTTTGGGACCTGAATAGAATAAAAGAAAGAAAAAAATATAAAAGGGAGCTGTGTGACTTGTTCCGAATTAACTCAAACTTATTGCCTTGTTTCATTTGCCTTATTAGAGAGGGTGGTGTGGACTTGTAGCATTGTCTAGGACGTAACACTTTTCTATATCAGTAAAAGTCTTTTTGTCCAATACTGTTGTTCCCCGAAGTTTAGAACCGTACGTAAAATCCTGTTGAGTACCCACCTCTATGATAATGAACCGTGGGGTAAACCAAATCCAACAAGAAAGAATTGAGACATTAATAGCCCGCTTATAGCCCGCTTCTAGTCCTGTTCATTAGTCTAATGTTGACAGCCAAAGTTCGATATACTTACAGATGGTATGGACTTGTAGCCATATCCCATTAAATTTTTACAGGTCCACGCCCCTCTCTATCATTTTACCCATATATATATATATATATATGCGTGTGTGTGTTATTTCCAAATAAGACTGTCGCTCAAAAGTCTGAGGGTGTATGTGAATATATGTGAGTGGAGTGAATGAGTGAGTGAGTGTGACTGTGGAAGTTCGGTTTACCTCTATTGTTTCTGCATATAAACTTTATATATTTCATGTCATATATACATATATATATTTTTTGCTCTTATTAATTGTTCTTTTCATTTAATTTAATTTCTCTTGCGGGTTAAATCAAGGCAAGGATAATATAATATCAAACTACGCCACACCTTCTTTCAGCACAGGCAATATTCTTATTTTTATTACTTTAAATATATATTTATATATTAAATATATTATATACACTTAAAAAGACACAGAAAGACACGGACACATACACATATTATAGATATATAAATATATATATATATATTGGACAATTGTATATATAATTATCGTGTGTAAACCATGCAGAGGTGTGTATAAATACAATATCCTTGTGTACTTGTATATACTTGTGTGTGTGTATGTGTATGTGTATGTGTATGTTTGTTTTATCAATAATGTAGAGCCCTCCTCTTCAACAATACAAATACACACACGTACATATATATATATATATATACAGAAACATGCATACACGCTTGTACATGTTATATAAACAACTATATGTATATATATATATATATGTATGTATGTATACACATATGCATATATATATCAACTACAATCATAAACGATAAGAACTCAAAAACCAAAAACCAAAAACGTTAAATTGAATTCAGACCATACGATGAACATGCACCATCGACTCCAACCCGTAATCATCCCCGAACACCTCAACGAAATAACAATGATCGCACGCCTCATCGGACCCCGATCTACGATCGAACACCTACTCGCACACCAAATCGATCATATATAGGCACACCAACACGACCAGCTTTCAAAACACCAATTCGGCCACCAGATTTCCTTTCACTTGCCCAAGAAACCAGCCAACGTTCATCTCAGACATCGAGCTGGCCATCCGACAGTTTCTTTGCTTACAATCCTGAGAAAGAACCAATCAAAGTAAAAAAAAAAAAAAAAAAATGAGCATAGTGATTATAGTGATTGAGGATTTATCATTACTATCATTACTATATAAAAAATGTCTAATAATCATTCTCTTTACTACCACACAAAACAAAGGCTTATTTGCGTATACGCCCATTAGCAGGTCATCAAACAACAGCAATCGAGGTTCCATATCTTCAAATTGTTGATGATCTCGAAGTGTCAATGACCCCACCGGAAGTACGTATAAAAGAACATATACATTGCATTATATATATATATATATATGTGTGTGTGTGTGTGTATAATTGATCTCTCTATATCTCACAAAATATAATACTACCGAACAAACAAACTTATTTATTTATCTATCTTTTATAGACATCCAATGCCTATAGAACTCGAAACAGAGCACCAGAACGATACAAATTCACAAAGATCTTTACCGAATCTGTGGCTCAGCAAGACTTTTTTAACAAGACGACCCTTCCGTTAATTAGTGACCTGTTGCACGGTGAAAATGCGCTTGTGTTTGCATATGGAGTCACGAACTCTGGCAAAACATATTCTATTATGGGTACACCTCAAGATCCTGGACTTTTACCACGAACATTGGATGTGATCTTTAACAGTACACGCAATTACTTGAGTGATTCAAAGGTAAACTATATATTTTTATATCTAAAGACTTGTTGTTGAAAAGAAGTCTTTTGGTTATTATGAATGGAGGAGTTTTTTTTTATTTTTAATAAATAAATAAAAAAAAATACTAACGTACATGATTATCAAAGTTTAAACCTGTAATGCACAGTCTGGTACAAACCTATGAAGACCCTCGAGAAGAAAATCGAAACATATTGGACCGTGCTGGATTATTTGATTCGCCTTATTCAGGATCCTCGGTAAGAGATCTTTTGACATTTGCTTACATTACATTATATTTCATTGGACTTTAAATCAAACGCACATAAAAGAGAAAAAAGATAAGATATTGACCTGATACGTTGATCAATAGAACCCTGATATCCGGAATGGGCATTCATTCAACGAAATCAGAGACACTACAAGTAAACGATAAGAACAATACTAATAATAATAGAAAAAAAAATTGATTATGATTATTATAATTATTATTCAGGTGTGAAATTAGATGACAAATTCGAGTACGGTATCTGGGTATCCTTTGCAGAGATTTACACAGAAAAGATCTACGATCTACTCGTACCTCCAGACAGGCAATTGAAACGTAGAGCCCTGTCTCTGAAGTACGAGTTCCGAAGTGGGCATAAATATATTTCCGGACTTAAAGAAGTCAAGGTTCAATCCATTGAGGTAAATAGTGTATATATATATATATATATATATATATATATTTGATTTATTTTTATCTTTTTTTTTTATAAATATAAATAGAATGTATAAATATTTCTCTAATACAAATTAACTTTATATATTTAAAAATAATAATAGGAAGCATATGTGATATTAAGAGAGGGCCAGCGCAACAGAGCCGTGTTTTCTACCATAATGAATCAGACAAGTAGCAGAAGCCACAGCGTGTTTACTATCCGAATTGTTCGAGTACCAATTGATGAAGATAATTATGTAATCGAAGTAAGTATTTCCTATATACATTAAATTAAATAAAAAGGAGAAGGCTTTGGTTGAATAATTTGTAAAAAAAAGAAAATTGTGATTCGATACACAGACTAATCAAAAGAACAACTCTATTATTTTATACCAAAGGATCCTTCATATGTTACTGTGTCAAAGATGTCTATTGTTGATCTGGCTGGATCTGAAAGACATCGAAATACTTTCAATTCCGGTAATCAAGTCAAATTATAACCAATACACAAAATGAAATGAATATACTGATATTTTTATTTTTATTTTTTCGAAATAAAAAGGTCAAAGATTAAAAGAAGCTGGCAACATTAACAAATCATTGATGGTTCTTGGACAATGTATGGAGACATTACGTTTCAATCAATTGAAAGCAGCTATGGGCAAGGTACACTTATCTATTGTTATTTATTTTTTATTTTTAAAAGACACCCAATCAATCAATCAATTAATTAATTAATTAATCAATCATTTTGAACTTGAAAGCGCCAAGCTGTTGTTCCATTCAGGCACAGTAAATTGACTGAATTGTTCAAGAGTTCGTTTGAGGGAGACGGCAAAGCAGTAAGTTATCTTATTTTAGAATTGGTCTTACTATATTATTCCAATGATCTATTTTGATTCTGGATAAAATTTTGAGAAACAAGAGACGATTAAACCAATAATTATCCTGATTGTCTTGATACTAATGACTGATTACTAATAGGTTATGGTGGTCAATGTAAATCCCTTTGACACCGGGTTTGATGAGAATAGCCATGTCATGAAATTTGCAGCCGTAGCAAAGGATGTAGCTACATGGCGTCGTATTCACCCAAAACTTGATCTCAAGAGTGTATCTGGTTCAGGTAAGAAAACGAAAAAGAAAGAAACAAGGATGTCCAAAGATATCATTCTTTTTTTCTTTACTTTACTTTATTTCATTGTAAAAAGAAAGAGAAAAAGAAGAAGAAATGAAATTATGTCCATGTATCTGATCTCAAAGAGTGTATAGCCAAGAGACTTCGAACAGAAGTGCAAGGACAACAGTGTATGTGATGATTTATAGAATTACTTGCCAATTAACATCATTTAAAGTCTTTTGTTTCTTTTCTTTTTTCTTAAAATATCAAAAAATTATATCCAACAATTTGGTTTTTAACTTATTTGATTTGATTCATTTAGCAATTGGATATCTTCCAAGAGATGAACTTCAAATAGCTCTAGGAGATGTTGATGACGACGATGAGGACGATGACGGGCAAGATGATGATGACGACCCATTTGTAGATGGTCTTATCACCCAACTTGAGGATCTTCGTGACAAGGTACTCTATTGTTATTTATCGCCAATTGACATTTCAATTACAAGAAGGGCAATATATATCTACGTATGTATTCATATGTCTCTGTTTGTTTGGGTAGTGGCTCGATGCAGAGACTAGATGTGCAACAATGGAGTCTACTATTCGCCAACAGTTTGCCAAAGAAATGCAAGTCGAATTGGGGAAAATGGAAGAGATTTATATTTCAGCCTTAAAACGGGAGGTAAGCTCTTACTTGCTTACTTGATTGCTTATTTGATTCCACCCCTTCTCCTCGCTATTCTCCTCCTTTATCTCCTTTACCTCCTTTACCTCCCTTTCTCTTTTCGCTTTCTATCTTTGTTCTCTTGTTGGTTACAACTTTGATTGCTTTATATATTATATCATGTTAAATATCCTATTTTCAGTCCACTGACATTTTGCTTTTTTTTTAAAAATAATAATAATAATAATAATAATAATAATAATATTTGTGATTAGAATGACATTAATGGAGCTCAAATCAAGGAAAGAATAGAAAAGTCTGGTTCACTGACAGGATTTGGTAAATGTACAAAATAAGAAATGTAGATATACATAGATTATTGGTTTCTCCCTTGATATACATATACACACATATATCATTTCACTTACAATAATATATTTATAAAGGTTCGAACAACGATGGTTTCTTAACAGACGTAAGTATTTTGGTTATTATTATTATTATTATTATATATATAATATACGCAATTACAATCTAACTGTATATTGTATTGTATTTCTTTAAAATGCATATATACATTTCCAAAGTTGCACGATAGACAAGAGTCTCTTACAACCGAAATTGCAAAATTACGTGTAATCGTGCAGGATCACGATGCTACAAAGCAAAGTCTCCTAGAAAAGGTATGTATTATGTATTATTGTTTTTTTTTCTGCTGGGCTTTCTGTAGAGAATATCCATAGAATACATATACGTACCTATGTGGAGAACAAAAAAAAATTATTTAGATGTAGAAGAAGAAGTTTGTGTCTATGTGTTGTCATCGATCGAGCAATGAATAACAAAAAAAAACAATCAATAAAAACCAGATTTCAGCGTTGGAAAAAGAAAAAAGGAAGGAGCAGGAAGACACAAGACGCCTACTCCAAGATCTTAGGGAACGTGACAGACAAATAGAAGGCTTATCAAAATCCTCGCGTGCCACAGTAGATTTGATGGAAGAAGACAATCCATTTTTAGTAGAAGCACGAAAACCAAGTACTCCACTAATCCTGCCACAACTGCCACAACAACAACAAAACTCATCACCATCACAATCACAATCACAATCACCAGAACAAGAACAGCATTCAGACCGACGTGCATCGAATACCTTGACAATTGATAATTTGACTGAATTGACCTCACGTACCCCACACCCTTCTAAAGGAGAGGCATTTGATAGGTTCCTGGATCTTAGAAAACGACTGAGAAGATGTGTCTTTAGAGAAGAGGTAGGATGTATATAAGAATCGTATGGGAAATTAAGTACACGTGTGGAACATTATAATAACGAATAATAATCTTGGTTTTTATATATAAAAAAAAAGTATTCCCAAACTCTGGATGTGATGATGAAGGAGGTGGAACAGTTTGAGGGTGTGTCATTTGAGTTGGTCAAGGTAAAAGAATATGGTTTTGGTTTTTTGGTTTTACCCACTTGAATAAACTCTTATTTTTTTTATTTATTTTTTTAGGAAACCAACATGGGCAAATTACTGAAACTGGTGGCACAAAAAGAGTTTAAAGATGATATTTACTCCATTCAATCCCGTGCCAAGCAACTCTTCAAACAATTTGCTCAATTGTCCATCCCAATTCTAGCCCCTCCAAAGAAGCAGGGACGTGGAGCCTTTAATCGTGAATCAATGGTGGTCTTGAGTGTAGATGCAGGAAAAGAGGAAGAGCTTATTTCTGAAATGAAAGTTGCACTGGATAGCCTGCAAGATGAGAACCAGAAATTGAAGACCAAAATCAAGGTAAACCTTTTTTTTTTCTTGATTGATTAACTTAATTGCCTGTGCCTATATTATTGAATAATCTAACTCTTGGATATATGTGTTGGTGGTGGTGGTGGGGGTCAATATATTTAGTACATGCAAGAAGGTCAAAAGAGGCTCAAGAAAGCATTCGAAAAGACTCGTAGTGTCCACGATACCACTAATACTAATATTGCCACTGTTGCTTCTGCTGCTCCTACTGCCACAACTACCGCTGGTCTTACTCCTAATTTCACTTGTACTCCTACTGCCGCTGCTGCTGCTACTGTTACTGATTCTGTATTATTATCGGAAAAGACGATCTACCCACCAGATCCAATGGAGGAAGAGACTTTGGAAAAGGTAAGAAATATGACAAGTGGGCTGGTGATAGATAGCTGGTACTATATATATATATATACATATGTTTGTTTGTACGTTTGTACACACACGTACAAATGCCCACATCCACACCCACTCATTCATATAAACAACAACAACAACAAAAAGCTAAACAAACTAAAAAAAGAAAGTACTTCTAAATTATTCTTATTTACATGTACCTACAGAGCCCTCGTCGTGTGTCGTCTATGTTTAGTCCAATATTAGAAGCTCCTACCATAAGTGACCAAATGTCTGACATTGATGATGAAAAGCTATTGCAATACTATATGCTAGAGGAAGAAGCAGACAAAGCATCTCGACCACAATTGGCATCAGATTCACTACAGTCATCTACAGACGACTATGATAATTGCGGTGCAATTAGTGATAATGATGAGAGTCTGTTCTATCGACCAGGATGCCAAAAAAGAAGGTTCGATATATAAAATAGAATAGAATCGAAATCTGGGTTACCATGTGTTGTGTAGCACGACGACTCAGCCATTAATACAAAAAAGAAAACTACTTTTTTTTTTTAAAAAAAAAAATAATAATAATGTCTTTTTATTATTATTATTATTTATATATGTCTTTTAGGAAACTCAAGGCACGACGCACCTAAAAATGGGTCTCTCATGGCAACTGTTTCTCTCTTATATGAATTCCAAAAAGAAGAATAATGAATATTTCTAATAAAGCTATATACAAGACATATAAGAACATTATCACTAATGTCAATTCCAATTCCAATTCCAATTCCAATTATCATTATCATTATCATTAGTACCAAAAATTAATAGTAAAATTAACAATTGCCATTTAATAATAAAAAAAAAGGGCAGGCATATATGTTAAGCTATTTATTGGATGAGAAAACCTCCCTCTTCTCAATTCACACTATACCCTTTGTTTTTATAATATACATATATTTATCTGAGTTTTATAAGTGAGCGGCTGTGATTCATAATAGAGGGAAAAAAAATAAAAATAAAAATACATTTATACATATAAAAAGAATCAACCCTGATCTTTACCTCATTAAGCATAGGAAAAACCATATAAACGTCACGATCTAGCTATGCAAACTGTAATAAATAATAATAATAATAATAATAATAATAAAAAAGATATTTAAGCAACTTGACATTTACAAAGCCTTTCTTTCTTATCACAAAAAAAAACCTTTTTTTTTCTTTGCTTAAACACATATACAGAATGCTTACTTGCAACAAGATATTCCTTACTCCTTCATACGATAATGATGAGATCGATGATAGTGCCCCTCCACCCTACTATGCACATTCATTTATTGCGAAAGATTCGTCTTTGCCTCCACTCTCAATTTCGCACTCGCATTCACACTCGCTATTACTCTCCAAATCGAAATCAAAGCCAGACTACAGACATTCATTTGTTTCACCAGAATACGCACATACAATCAATGGACTGTGCCAGAAACTTCGGGGAATGAAGGCCAAATACAAGGACAACCGAGAAACCCGTAAAGCAACCCGTCGAGAAAAACGTCCTCAGGATGGCAAGACAAATCCATTTGAATAAGAATCATTTGTACATGTTACTTTATTTATTATCTTCTTTTTTCATTCTTGTTCTTTGCGTTGTAATTATCATTAACAGATATTGTAAATAAAATCAATTCATTTTTTATATATACATTTATGTATAAATGTATAATGAATGCTAGTTTAGTCAAGTTGTTTCAATGCCCTCTTTATATATATATATATAAATAAATGTGTGGGTATTGTATTATAAGAATTAATGCCTATAGAAATAAAAATAAAAATAAAAACCTTTTTGTACACTAATTTTAAGTTTTGTTTTATTTTATTTTATATGCCAAGCCATTTATAATATAATATAGTATAATATAGTATAGATAGAAGAACCGGATGCAACCGATAGAGCATCTATCTATCTATCTATCTACCTACCTACCTACCTACCTATTTATTTATTTATTTATGTGTCTTATGCACACCTGATAACCAGTGCCTTGGATTATTTTTGATACCCTAAAAAAAATTCAAAAGATTATGTAGTATTTGGCGCGAAACTCTTGATGATAATAACAAAAAACAAAAAAAACCAGCCAATAAGATACAAGTATACAAAGCATATATGTATAATTATGTATGTACATGTGCACACAAAAGGTCATTATTATTAAATGATTATAATAGGGTGTTTCAAGATATTACGTTGGAATTTCCTATTCAAACTTTCTGTGTGATGCACAGAAAGCCAAAAAAGAACTTCTTTTCATGCACCTTCCCCTCTCCTTTTCTTTTCTTGTGTCTAAATTTGTAATTATCAAGGATAAACTTTTAAAAAAGACCTTATCACATTTGCAGATGCACTCAACTGAAGAGATTGTGATGGCTAAAGTAGTGTGAACCAAACCAAACCATATAGTTAACAATATACATTATTGTACATTATAGAACACTGAACAAGTTCTAGTTAAATAGCCTGTCAATTGTCAAAATTCATCTAATCAACCATTCGACTATTCAACTAAAATCTGGTGATACAATATGTCTACATATTTTCCAAAATCATATTAATAATATTAATGATAGGATTATATTCTACTATATTTCTTTTTCTCTCCCTCACACACTTTTATATACAATAAGTATTTTTAGTAGACTCTTCAATTGAACCAGTCATTCTTCTTTTTTTTTTAAAGTGTTACATGTTAGGCATATAGTTTTGGCTTATAGTCCTGCATTACAGCAATCATGTCTTGTCAGCGTGCGTAAAAAGAAAATTGCATGCATTAGTATTTTTCCATTATTTATTATTTGATTTGTCTAAATGGTATAAATTTTTTGGTTCTCGGTTCGATCCATGGATACTTTTTTTTTTTTGTATTCGGCACTATCTGATTCTTTGCTCACTCGACTTGGGCACTAACTATTTTGATTTACATTTGATGTACCCCAATAATTCTCTATCTCAATTTTCTTAAAGGAAAGAACGAAAGAGAGTATATAGTTATGCAGCCACCTTAAACTGAAATATTATTCTTTATCTATTTTCAAACTATAAACAATAATGTAGACGGTTTGTCAAATCCGTCAAGTCACGGATAAGCTATTAACCTGAGAGATTGGACTTTGACAAAAATAATTAGACCAAGTGCTTTTCATTAGGATCAGAACCCTTTGCAAAATAGAACAAGCAAAATAAGACCCATAGTAACTACCTCTCAGTAAAGGCTCGTGATAATAATAATAATCACAATGATGATGATGATACTTATAATGATTATGGTAGACTCAATAGATTAAATTACTCTTTCAAGTTGCATCAAATCTTCTCAATCCTACCCCCCCCTTTTGCATCTCTTTTTTCTGCCTTCCTTTCTCTTTCTTTTTCTTCTTTATCTATATGTAATTTCTAGCAAGATATTTTTTTTAATAATTGTTTCTTTAACAAACGTGTATTTATATATATATTTCCAATCTTTTTTTTTTGATCTACTATATTAACCGGTTCAATATTTGATTTATTCAAAAATAAAAATAAAGACAGACAGACAGAAATCACCATGACATATTTTACTAAGCGGCTGGATAATGGTTTAGGTACTTCGAGCCGGCTTTCCAAAACCGAAAAACCTCGGCCAACTGAACCTCAACCCCACCTACAACCTCAGCCTCAGCCTCACCCACAACCTAAACCTCAACATCAACCTAAACCTCAACCGATAAAAAAGTCTTTAAAACAAAATAAGAGTACCCTTAGTCCCGCCAAACCTAGTCCCCGCCTCCCTTCCTCTAATCATGCAAAAACACAACCACCAAGTTCACCATCAAATCAAAGACATACAGCACCCAATAAGCTTAATACCAAAAACCAAAACCTCCCCCAGGAGAACCCAAACCAGAAGCAACATAAAACATCTGGGACAAAATTACCACTTTGTACATTACCACCTACTCACGCACCTCTTGGTTTGCATTCACCTCGTCCCTTTTATGAAGCCAAGATGCGTACTCCCCCAGTGCAGCTGCAGCATGCACTCACCCTTTGTCACACTTGTCAGCTGCCCATTCTTTGTGGCATTCTGATACGCACAAGTCTTGAAAGCACGTCTCCGTCTTGGCATGCTAAATGCTTCAAGTGCGGCACGTGTGGCAGACGACTAACAAGCACAGCGTTTTTCAATAAAGACAATGAACTGTATTGTGCCGCAGATTATCAAGCCTTGTTTGGCGTACAATGCTATGGATGTTTAAAACCAATCACAGAGGTACATACATACATACATACATACATATTGATAGTGATATTGCTACTATACTATACTAATAAAGTAATCATACACACATACACACATACGCACAAAAAAAAACCATTTAGTATATATCACAGACCACCTGCTCTAACAAACATGTACTCTGCAATAGGCTTATCAATCAGCTATGGGGAAGCAGTATCATATGGGACACTTCTTATGTTACCAGTGCCACACACCGTTTAAAAACGAAGATTCCTTCAAGGTACACAAGGGGCAGGCTTATTGTGAGCATGACTACAATTTCCTGGATCAAAAGGATGTACCACTTTAGATACCTTTTTTTTCTGTATCTCAAGAACAAGGCTATCAATCAATCCAAACCAAGCCAAATCAAACCAGAAAATCAAATAGCCAAATAAACAAACAAACAAACTCACAAACAAACAAAAAGCAAAACAAAGCAAAACAAAAGATGGTTTACCATTTTTCCCATTTATTTTATCTGTCTATCTGTTTTCTCCCTTTGCTAATTGAAAGATATATATATATATATAGCTATCATATTGTAAGCCATGAATATGGATAAGACGGTTACAAGAAGTATAAATCCCAATCTTCAAGCTGTCTATATATAGGGAAAATAATATAATCCTGACTAACAAATAAAAGAAAACAAAAGGTGTTTATTATAGGCTATTCAAATATCAACAATTTTCAATTAACTCCAGAGTCTACTTAATCCTGCAGATGAGTAACCATCGACAGTTAATAATAGTCTAAATAATAGTGCCTTCTGTTTAAATATTCAAAGTATATCTTAAACCAGAAACAACCATCCAGCCAACCAACAAATTAAAATGAAAACCAAAAAAAAAAGGTCAATTTATTAGAGGGTACTCAGACGGATTTTACGTAGAAATCCAGATTTAGACACTAGCCAATTATATCGCTTTACATTTGAAGACCCCAAAATGCAAAGGTAGAAGTCTGGTAGATATTTAATATGTTAGCGTTTTAAGTTGGATATAAGAAATGCAAAGGCTTACTAATAAATCAAAGTATGTGGCTCCCTACAAATAGACACAATATATATAGATATATATATATATATATACAAGAAAGGACCTTTCCTTGCATCTAGAATATCAAAAAGACTGAATCTTAGAGTAACGTATGTTTCCATATTTGTAATTTCCATGCTGTTATAAGAATTTTAGCCCAATAATACTGCTTTCTGGACTTGCCAATTCTATATAAAATCTGGCTGAGTACCCCCCCCCCCTTTTTTTTAAAAAAAAAAAAAAGAAAAAAAAAAGGCTATCCTTACGGACAAGACGACGGGACAAGATTTCGAGGAAAGGGAAATTTTTACCACACGCTCATGTTTGATATCAAATTTTCCTCAGCCCATACACCTCCATATATATATATATATATGTACTTTTTATTCTTATCCACCAGCTATAGGTTTATAAAAGATTAAATAAGTTATTACTATCTTATAGAAAAATGTAACGAATTTTTTTTTGTTGAATTGATTATACAAACTGTTGTTTGGGATATTATAAAAAAAAAACTTGTGAGATATCACACATTTAGACCGTATATAAAAGCGTTGGCCTTGAAACAAGAGATAGCACATAAAACTATATATTTGGTTTTGTCTTTATGAAATATTTTATACTGTACGATTAAAGTCCCTTGATCACTCCAAAGAGATTGAGTAAAGAGGGGATCGTGTTATGTGTAGTGACGGTGCTGAGGCTTGTGCCTTTTTTTTGACAAGTATGGATATACCATAGTATTACAATATCTAAAAGAAAAGTACAAGAATAACTTTATCAAATCAAGGTTGGATTGGCATGGGGGCTCCATACTAGGTTGTGGGCTGTGCGTAAGCGGGGATATTTGACTCATTGAATACCATGAAGCGTTCCACGCATTTAACTAGTATGCATACATGATCTTTGTGAAAAAAAAATCCTATTCAATTTCTGGGAGCTCTCAGTGAGAACAATGATCGGGGAGTTTGTCTACAAAGAGGACAATGCTAGTTATCACAACGCTAAGCTTCTAGAAGAGTAGAATACTTATAAAAATATTGAAAGTTAGAGCTTGATATTCCAAAAGCAAAAAGCTCCTAAGGAGCTAGAAGCTGGTATTCATATGATATAGTGCCAATATCCCAAATGAAATTTTTATTTGCCAAAGTCATTAAATGCCAATACTTAATTCTATACATGACATTAAAAGGGCTAATGGAAGAATTAACATACTATTGTTTTTATTTGATAACAATATTTTTTAGGCATGTGGTTGTTAAGTGAAGAGTAGACAAGTTAGAATTAGAAAGTTAAATAGGTTATGATCTTGGTTTGTCGGAACATAACAACCTGTAAGGAATACTGAGTAGGTATGGCTTTGTATATTTAAATTACTAAAACAAGAACAAGAGCAAAAGTACTTCTTCGTGAGTTAAAGATATCAATATAATGTCATCCAATTATTAAATAAAAAGTTACAATACAATAAAATGGTAATCACTTCTTTTCTCTTTACTACAAAAGAGATATACGACATCAACCCCTGATGATTAATATAGATAAAAACAAGAAGAACAATAGGATATATAAGTATCCAGTGCTTCTTTGAGCTTTTATACCGTCAGAAAACAGTTTATTGAACAAAACAAAGAAACATTAGCTTATTTACTGGTAAAGAAGTAATTTATTTTTATGCAATATACATTACAACACCACAACAATGAATATTCAAACATATGTATATTTCAACTTATTATAAATAGATAAAACTCACACTTCATATTTCACTCTCTACCTTCTTACTTTCTATTCCACTCACAAATAAACAATATGTCCAGTACATCTAGCCAACATGAGCCTCAGCTTAGTGAGTTCACTCCCAGAAAGAGAAGAAAGGTAAATATCAATAGGCCTTGTTGAAGTCATAGATGTATAAAGTAAATGTAGAAACCTTTCTGTATTATAATAATTCCAATTATCATCATTATTAGCATTATAAATAATAATATTTTATATTTCTATCTATAAATGTAGGTCCTATCCAAGATGGAGAATATATGTAGACGAATGAGATCCTTGGCCAACTTATTGGAAGGAATCGATTTTGAAGCATACGATGCTGAACAAGACCGAAGGGGGGCTGCAGGTCCTGTGGAGCGTATAAGGCGTAGACCTCGTGGGCGGAGAGACCCAAATATGCCTAAGATGCCATCAAATAGTTACGCTATATATACCCGCTGGTGCTCCGAACATTTAAGAGAAGAGAATGTTCAATTGCCTTTACACAATTTCCTTGTGACGGTTGCTGGGAGATGGAGGGCCTTAAGCGCAGAGGAGAAACAGGTAAAGCCACTCTTCTTACTAGACACGCTTAATCATCCATAAATAAAGTAACTTGCTCACTCGGCTTTGTATAGCCATATGTTGATCTTGCAAATGAGGACAAAGGAAGATACGAGCGGGAAATGCAGGAATACCGCAGAAACAACCCTTAAAACTAAAGGGTTTGAGGATTGGATTTTGTTACCTTTCCTTATTTCTTATATGCTTCTTTGTCTTTCCTCTTCTTCTTATAATCATATGAATACACATTTTTCTTTCTTTTTTTTATGCTTATTTTTTTTTTACACTTCTTGTACCTTTATTTATAGCAGTAATTCACCTCTCCTTTCATTTAACTCTTTTTTTCTTCTGTATTTTTCTTTTGTCAATATCTATATGCAAATTATTATTATTATTATTATTATTATTTTACAGTCAAAGCTCGATTTAGTAATATTTGATTTAGTAATAATCGCGATTTAGTAATAGTAATACAATTTGGCTTCTCCCAAAAGTATTACTAAATCGAGCTTTGACTGTATCCTAGAAAGCAAAAAAGAAATAAAGCCCAATTTCAATCGAATATAAAATCATCGCCTACCCTTAATGAATTCTACCACTTCCAAGAGAACCTGTCCCTAGTGATCCGTTCCCTCTTCTTATATCCGAAATCTTTGCTATTCCCTGTCAGCCTCCACCATCTGCACCCGCACAAAACTGTGCCTAGGAGGACCAACTTGGTTTAGTATTTTTGTGTATTTTGTATCCATCAATGGATCGCCCGAGTTTTTAAACATAGTCCCTCTTTGGAGCTAATATCCTTACTAAAATTCACTCCCAATTCTAGTGCTGGCAGTTCAGCAATGAATTCAACAATCTTCAAATTATATAACATATGTTTAAATTAAATGTGCTTTTAGTATTTCTGCTGTTAAGTAATAATAGATAAAGTAAGGCGTGGGGGTTAGAGGTGTTTTTACTTTTCATTGGTTTGATGGAATATAAAAAATGTGATAACCGTTGATATGGGTATGCATATCTTTTTTTTTTTTAAAAAAAAGAAGCTGTATATTCATAAAAATGCTGAATATATTGACAGTGATACGATTTTTCTTCTTCAAATATTAGCACTTCATCAGACTTTGACTGTATTTGAAGCAATTACACTTAAATCCAGTTTCGCATCAAATATAATGTAAATGTTAAAATATTTTCTTTCGAAAATTTGTCTGAAGCACCTAAATCTAATCAGCATTTATGTGAATGTAGAGTAAAAAATATCTGCTATATATATTATTAGTATTATTATTGTTTTGAATAGACATCCAATTAACCACCACTAATGTCTTTTAGTTTTTTACTAGCTTTTTAATGTGGTACTGATATTTACAAACAGGTTCGACAAAAAATATCAGTCAGGGCAGTTCTACATATCAACGAATTATCTATTTTACGTAGCATTACTACTTTGTTTATTTAAAGATTGGCTGGGACAGGAACAATCGCAAAGCCAATAATAGGGAAGTGAATAAAAACTTCTAGAGATGATTCCCGATCGATATGTTTCAAAACAACTTCCTGGCTTGTCAAATGCACAAGTGATCCAACCACAGGAATCTTGCCGTTGTCCAAGGGAGTAACAGACACAAGTACACCAGCCTTCAAAGGAGTTCCAGTTGACTTGACTTCTCCCACAAACTCCAAACTTTCCTTCTTGGCAATTTCAAGTGCCTCTTCTGCAGAAATCCTTGGCATGTCTTCGGTCTTCTCGTAACCTCCGACCTTGAGAACACGGGTCTTGTGTGCCGAAAGGGTGGGGAAGTTTTTCTTCAACCAAGACTCGCCAACAAGTCCTCCCGCAAACGCAGTGTCGGTAGCCAAATGGAAATCTGCCATTGAAGGAAGCTGGGTGTCCAGAACCCATTCTTTGCTACCTTGGTCGTTCTCCAAAAGCAGTTGCTCGGCAACCTCGAATTGAGCCTGGAGCTCGAGTTTCAAAAAGGGAGCAATAGCAGAAATTTGGTCTACATCAATTTTGGTTCCGCTGTAAGCAGACCGGTCCTTTACAATAACATCAGGAATTCCCATGGAAAGGAACTGAGGGACGACGGAGAAAAAGAGCGTGTTGTCTGTCCATTGGCTAAAGGCCTTGCAAAGAGCTTCGGTGGCCTGTCCCGATCGGGTAGCGGGGTAAAGTGAGGGTTCAGGATATCTAAGATCAAACAGGCGTAATTACAGAAAAGGTAGGTTAATGTCAATGCTGTCTTGACAGATATTTTTTTTAGGTTTACCTTTTCTCGAGTTCAGCAATAATAACCTTTGTATCGCAAAAGATGTGGTTATCGATTTGGAGAATTGGAGTTTTACGGTAGCCACCATCGAGCGGTCTGCGAAGAGGACGAGGCTCGATCATGTTGATCAAGACTGTCTTGTAGTCAACCTTCTTGTAGTTGAGAGCCCATGCAATCTTTTGAGCAAAGGGTGATTCAGGATACCAGTGCTATTCAGGAAAAGAAAAAAGGAAACATGTTTAATATATGATTCAAGCGAAAAACAAGTTCTTTGGTTTCTTTAGCCTTTTTACCAAAATAACGTTAGGAGACATGGTGAATGAGAAGTATTCTGGGAAGAAAACCAAGAAATGGGATGTGGTATTTAAATAAACCTATAAAATAGATGTATTTTTATATTATATATATATATATTTAATTTACGCAACCTTTAGCCCTATGTGATTTTCGCTGATTAAGTTGAATTAACTGCTTTTGATCTGTGAGCTGGAAAATTAAAACGCTTACGTTTATCACCTTTCTCTATTTATTTTCGCAACCGACACGCATAAACGCACATGCCCATGCACAAACGTAAGCACACACACACACACATTCAAAGACTCACAAACATGCGCACCTCAACAAAATGAAATAGCTTTAACCACCAACTTCCTTGCTTTATTAGTACTTCTCCGATTAAAAACAGGTGCACATAATGATATAACCAAAAATAAAATTATTGAATTATTCCTTTTATTATTATAATTTTTTTTTATCAATATTAGTGTTAGTATTAGTATCAGTGTTAATAAAATAAGAAGAAAAGAAAATAAATGGAACTGTCAAGAAACATACACACGCATGTATATATATATCAAATATAATAGGACTTTTGTTTTGTTTTATACAGATGAAAATAAACGAAGTATTAGGTAGGTAAAAGAGCCTAAGAAACGAAACGCTGCTAGACCAGTATTCACCCATAGAATGACTGACATGTAAGTGGTCCCGATAGACTCTTGATAAATTGTGTCGAATTTGGTAGAGGTGATACACACGCTTAAAAGGGCATTGCAGGCAATCCAAATCAAGACCAAATGGGTTCGGAAAGAGCGGTAGTAATCATCTTGGGTTTGGTGAAAAGACTGAAGATGGCATTAAACTCAATTAGAAATCAATAATTCGTCTTAATACTATTAATATTAACTTACGCTCTTGGGATTGATTGGCTTGTTCTCAAAGGCAAGTAAAGCTTCTTCGTATTCAAGATTGATGTCGAGTTGGTCTGCCGGTAATTCAATTTCAACAGTCTCTACTCCCTGGCTGTCGTTGGATACCTTGACAACCCCCAAGTCCTTTGCAATTCCATTATCACCTTTGGTCCCCCAGCTAAATAATAATAATAAGAAAAAAAGATACAAAGGTTACTTTAACTCAATTCAATTCAATTCAATTCAATTTACACTAACCTCACATCATGTGTGTTGCAAAACGCATATATAGACAATATGTTGACATAACATGGTAAAAGTAAAAGGTACGGTAAGAAGCTAGTCAACATATGCCACGGTTGACCATATAGAATGCTGGATATAAAATATAGTCCATACGTAGCCATCAAAGACAAAAGCATGTTACGAAGACCCTGATTAGCCAGTAATAGGGCAAGATTTGTTCCAGCATTGGGTGTCCACTCAATTCCAGAATATGAAATAGCCTTGTAGACCAGCCAAGCCGCGGCAAACAGCATGTAACACATAATTACTGCAAACCCTACGAGGCACAGTATAAATAAGATTCTTGACCTACAGAAATACAGTATTAAATAAATAAAAGCTTAAATTTATAAGTAGATGTGCACACGCATATATATATACTTACCCTTGGGGTCGGTTACCAATCGAACAAATAAATACAATAATAAGAAGAAACTGGTATCCATATCTAATCACACTTGATATGTGTGTACCCCGCCCATTACCAAATGGATCGACTGTAGGATCCTCGAGACTCTTGGTGATAAAGTAAAAAGTAATATAAAAATTTCCCTACAAGTAAAAACCAGATTAGAATTAGTGCTATGATAATTATACTCCTTCTGTAGTCCAGGGGGATAAAATAAAGGTCTTACTAATGAGAGCCAGCCAAACAAAAGACTGATAAAACTGTACACACTCTCGATGCAAAGCAGTCCCATACGGAATAAGGAGTGGTTACTTTTCAAGATCGACGGGAAATGCCAAATTCCATAAACACCGGCAAAGAAACTGCCATTGAGCCAACGTCTCCGCTGAGAAATAAATTCAGGTAGCTGTTCAGGAACATCAGTTTCTGCAAAGGCACTCTGACAGTATTCGAGAAGCCACCGTTCGCCTCGCTTGGCTACCAGCTCAAAACACAATATGCGATCTTCAGCCAGATACATGTTTGCCTCAAAAAGCTTGGGCTGCTTTGCACTACTATGTAAATCTTCGCCATGAAAGTATTTTTCGAGTGGACCGTGGCCATTGATGTCGTTCTGAAGGGCCTGGTAACGATAGGCCGAAAAGGCGCCTGGCAAAACAGAAATATAGCCAAAGACACTCTCGAGGGGTTTGTCGAGGATGTTTGACATCTTGTATTCAAAATTCTGTGCAGCCACCAGTGGATTCAGAAGCTGCTTAAACCCTACCCCAAGCATGGCCCTGATTTCTCCACATGCACCACCAATATTTCGATTTCGTTCAAAGGTTCTCCAGAGTTTGTAGATGCTCACATTTCCGGGCCGTGTGCCCACATCAAGTAATATACATATCTTGGGTAGCAGTAGGGGCCCAAATGCATTGAAAAACCAGCGATGGGAGTTGATTTTCTTTGCGTTTTTTTCTTTTAAGCAAAACAGGATTTGTACAGGAACAATCCCCTTGGTTCAAAAGAAAGAGTTACTTTAGTAACATACGTATGTATGTATTTACACGTATATATATATATATATTGCTATATATCTTCTTTTAAACAAGATTTTTTCTATTGTAATTTATTTTTATATAAAAAAAAATAGGTGATATGTGGGGGAGGAGGGTTTACCTTGTCTGCTCCTCTAAGCTTCATGTCAGAGTCTATTGATATTTGTGTAGTAAACTGAATGATGTGCATCAATAAACTGAAACACAGCAATTTTTTTTTGGTTGGACTTTACTTCATAAATATGTGCTGTCACTGGTTTGTCTTCCACCATGTTTTTTGCTATGCCTGCCTGATAAATTCCCATGGATGCCAAGACATGCAGAACACGTTTGTTGATAATCTCACGCCCATCTGCAACAATGCAAACAACCACCTTTTGCCACCCATCAGGTCCCCAAACAGGAGAATTCGGAAGACTGCAGAGATACGAAATATTCTTCATCACACCGTGCATTGTACGAGTAAATAATATTTCGTCTTCCTTTAATAATTATTTATGAAACAAAAAAATAGAAGTACAAACACGCCAATGTATAGATACACGAAGCATTAATTTAGGGAAAGGTAGAGACAGACATATATAAGGACATATTAAATTTATAAAAGGCAAGATACGTACATTGTACATAGTGATTACAATAAAAAGTTCTGTTTCACGTTGATATTGCTGCTGGCGTAAAGTGTAGCCCTGTTTCTGAAAGTCATCAGGATCGCAGGTTGCAGCTGTGTATCGCATCGTCCTGAATTCTTCGTCCTTTCGAGGAACAGACAGTAAGAGTCGGTCAGGAACCGGGCAATTTATAATAAGATTGCCTTTTGTAAGTTTCAATTGTCGTGTAGCTCGACGACGGGCTGTGTTTGCTGCTGCTGCTGCTGTTGCTGTATCCTGTGTGTCATTGTTGACAAGAGGATAGTTACTGGCGTCCGAGTAGTGGTGTGGACGAGATATCAAGCCAGGATGAAATCCGCCAACTAAAGGTGCAGCAATATAGGCTTCGTGAAATCCTGATGCAGACCCTACTGGGTTGCGATAGTGTATACTCTGTGAGTAAGCAGGATTGGAAGGTCTGGCTGGTACAGACATGTCTACCATGTATGAAGGCTGGTATGGGGTTCTTCCGGGCAGATCAATATTAGCAAAGTTGTGCGATGTTGACAAATCTTCTTCATGTGGTCCAGGTACAGGTACAGGTGCAGGTTGTATTCGGTTATTGTTGTCAAAATTCTGGTGTCGTATTGTGGACATGCTTTGTCTACCGCTAGTCCTAACATCTGGTTGGGTGACCTGAAAACCAGGGTTGTAGTGTGGAATATGGTCATTGTTTCTCTCGTTCATTAGTAATTAAATGATTGTAGTTTGTACTACAAGCTTCTTAAACTAAAGAAAAAGGAAAAGGTAGAAGGAGAAGGAGAAGGAGAAGGAGTGTTATGCCAATACGTTTTACTGGCAGTAATAAATCAACAATAACTAGTCTTTTTCTTCTTCTTTTTTTTGTTCAACCTTATTGAATTGACTCAGCCAAATATATACATTTATATAGTCGTACTATAATTCCGTATTCAGGATTGTTTTGGTTTGAAGCCATTTAGGTAAACTCAAAACCAGAATTGAGGTTTGACAGAAAAACAATAATTGTTTTATTGTTGTTGTTTTTGTAGTTCTTATTTTAAACGATAATGATAATAATTGGGAGCTTTTTAGACAATTGATTGAGTGACTAGCTCAAGTGTTTTCAAATTTAAATTGAGTTCATTAAGTAAGTAGGTTTGCAAGCTTACACGGCTATCTTTACGCAACCAGAAAATTGCGAAAATTTCTTGCATGAATATATATATATATATATAGGGTAAATATAACTACATAAAGTAGATGATTTGATGCAAGTCATTTGTCACCATATATTTTATTTAGTAAAATATGTGCCCCTATTGACTGATATATGTTATATGTATATATAAATAATTGACCTAAATAAAATACAATCAAAAATGAATACAGGTAGAAAGACAGTTCTATTAAAGAACAAATAAAAAGAGCTATCTCAATACTTTATTATTTCAAAAGCTTATTTCCTTAAAGAATATAAATATATATAAGAGAAATAAAGAGGCAGGGGTAAAAGGAGAGGAAGGAGAAACTGGGGAAGCAGGAAGGAACTAGGCATCGTTTATGTCCATTCAACCTCTCCAGTCTGGTCGTGTGAGGCCTGAACATGTCCAAAACCTGGCGGATATACTCCAATATACGATTTTGCAAGTTTTAGCTTTATATAATTAAGGACGTGTAAGCGTAAATTATTAAAAAAAGAAAAAGAAAAAACAATATAGATACTTTGCTCGTTGGGTGGCTCATATGGGGACCACCTTCTGATAAAATAAAACCCATTGGAAGAATGTTCCTAGAGAACAGGGACCTTGGGTAATCTAAAAAAAAATCCTGGCAACAATTTTCACCCTGGTGGCTTCTTACTCATCAAAGTCCTATGGATATGACAAAAAGGTGAGGTTTTATTTACTTGTGTTTCATATGAATTATATGTTATTGCACAAAGCAAAAAGGTTTGTGCCAGAGGGATTTGTATAGATCTTTGTATAATGGAAATAATCTCATTTACTTGTTGGCTTTGCTTGTGAGTTGTTGGACATATTGGTTTGGTTAAAAAAACGACGAATTGAAAGTTAAGAAGAAATTACAGCTTTTATACTTGGTATTGAGACGATGTCAGTTTCTTTCATTATTGACAGCTTAAAATTGTTGTTTTTTTTAGATGACATTACATTACTTTTTTTTTTTGATAAACGGAATAAAGATATTAATTCATGATGGCGTATTTACACAATGTAAATCCTGTTATTATTATTATTATTTATTATTTATTTAAAATCTGTGCATGTGTATTTATTTGTTTTGTGTTTGTATAGATATATTATTATTACTATTTTAGTTTATGCTATGGTACTCTTCGCAATAGCAGACGCAGCTTTCTTGGAAAAGGACACGACTGTTTCTGGACCTTGTGTTAATGCTTTGAGCTGAGGAAGAACCTTTTCATAAAGAACATTTGATACTTTTGTATCATTTACTAAGAAGAAAACATAGAAGAAATAAATACATATTATCATCATCATTATCATTCTCCAAATAACAATAGCAACAGCAGTAATCCGTGTACTTTTATAGATATATTACCTGTTTGGGCAGCTAAAGCAACCTTTTCCAAGAAGACACATGCATTACAACGCACTTCACTGGGAATATCTGCGTTTTCTTTGCATACTGTGTCCACAACAACCTCAAGGAAAGTGCGGGTCTCAATCTCCTCCGGCTTCTTCTCATCATCATCATCATTATCCTGATTAATTAGCATGTCTTCTAAAGAAGGAACAGGCGCAATGACAAAGGATAGGGCTAAAAATAATAATAATAACATTATCATCATCAAAAAAAAAATTAGTGTTTAGTTATTGTTACTTTCTTCCTTTCAGGTTTTAGTACAAAAATTAATAAATTTTAACATACCATCTTTCAGAAGAATCTTGGATGATTCCGAATCGGTGTCGGCAAAAATCACAGTTAGTGCAATAATACCATCGTTCTTGAGGACCACAAATTTAGAAGATCTAACCAATTCAGCAATAGGTTCGACAATAGCTGGCTTTACAAGAATAGTACGCAAAGCCAAAGAAGTTGTGATGGCTAATCAATGGAACCAAAGAGAGAGAGAATATATACATACAATATGTTAATAGTTATTCTTAATGTACAGCACATATTTACTTTCTTTTCTTTTTTTGATTTTTTTTTAAAAAAACATACGTTGTGTCCAAACTGATTTGACTAGATTGGTTAATATCCGTGTAGCTTCACTTTTAGCCGAGCTATCATCTACACGCTTGATAAAAGCAAGTACCAACTCAAGAGGGGTCTGTTTCTCTTCTGTAGTAGTAGGACTAGTGATAATCCTCTGGCTGTTTTCATCTACAAATTGTCTTGGAATAAATCTCATGTTCATTACAGGAATTATTGGCTTACAATTATTAGCACAAAGAAGCTTGAGAATACCAATGGCAAAGAACTGGTTTCTCTTTAACATGTCTTTGGAGGTGTCCAGAAGAGGAGCCACGGATTCAATGGCACCGGCATTACCAATCACAGCCTTGTTTTGTTCTATATTCAATGGAAAAGTATGAGATAACACAAATATTTATCAAGAGAAACAAAGGTTTATCATTTACACACTTACTGGGAAGACAGAGATGTTTCAAACAGCCAAGAATAACGTATTGGAATGTTGCATTTTCTGTCGAAGTGAGCAATTTCAACAATGACTTTTCCAAATGATTCTTTTCAACCATTTCAACACAATGGGCATCTAATTAGATGGTCAGTAATCCATGTACTTGGTTTCATTACCCCTTCTCTCCTTTTTTTGGATTGTCAATTTACCTGTACGAGCAAGATTTCCAAGGGCATACACGGCAGTCTGGCTAACAATGCTAGATTCACTGTTCATCATACGGAAGAATCGATTCAAGGTCTTTTCGTCAGCATAGAGACGTTCTAGCATTTCATCTGATGCACACACATTAGTAATATTATATCATTTTATCAATCTATCTTGTCTTAATATCAAGAGTTTTAGATTATTATTATTATTTACCAGTAGATGTTGCATAAACGGCAATCTTGCTAATAGTTGCCTGTGTCTCTGTGAATCTCTTCTTTTCATCTTCATCATCTGCTGCTTCCAATGGCAATGTTGCTTTCTCTAAGAAATCAAGAAGCATAGTAAAGAATCCAGAATCCACAACGGCATTTTGCATATCGTCTATTCATACACAAAAATATTACAGTGACTTTAATACAGAGTTTCAATACTCAAACCGAACAGCAAGTATATATTATTTTTATTTTTACCATCATCAAGTACCACCTGTAGTAAGGCATCGGCCAAATTCTCGAGCAAATCCAAATTCTCGAGCTGGTCTACATTCCATTCGTAATTGATCATCTCCAACAGTCGAGAAACTGATTCGCGGGAACTAAACGCCTTTCTCACAGAATCTACACAGAATTATGGTTTAAGCTCAAATTTATTTTTCTTTTTCTTTTTATTTAAAATAACTTGTATTAGTATATGTATATATATATAAATGTTACCTTCTCCTAGTAGATTGTCAAGTACTTTTGCTGCCATACACACAGTAGCCTCTTCACCGTGGTCCATTCTTGCAGGATCTAACAACTCAGTCAATAGCTTTACACCGCCATAAGTAGCAATGTCTGCTTGGATAGGCTCTACAAGTCGTATTAAATCACCAAGAAAAATCAATTAGATAAATATATATATATATATAAGAAAAAAAATCAATAGCTTATATTTTGTGTATCAATTAATTATTTACCGAAATCCATACTGCTATTCAAACAAAATCCGCAGCATGTTCTCACCAAGTCAGGGCGATGTCCCTGCTCGAGAAAGGGAATAGCGAGGGGAATAACACCAGCATCATGAACCTTTTGTCTATTGTCATCTACAGTTACAATATTAATTCAATAACAGTTAAATTCAATTAAACTCAAAGCATGTAATTTTATTTTATTTTTCTTCTTCCTCTTTCTTTTCTCTTAATTTTATTGTCTTACTGTGGTCAAAGCACATATTGCCATATACACGTAGTGCCTGAATCTGATAGTCAGTCTGACCCTCTTTAGCCAATCTGAGAATATCCGTGACCTTTTCGAGTACACCAGCCTCACCGAGAGGTGTACGTGTAGACTCTAGAAAAATATTGTGAGATGAGTTGATGATGTTTATGTTTATGATTATTATTATTATTTTTTTGGTATTGTTGCTATTGCTGCTGTTGTTGGTGTAAAAAATGTAAAATGTAAAATATAAAACATAAAACAAATAAATTTACCTGTTCTTGCACCGTCAGCAACAACCTGGGCAAGTTGTGTGGCCTTGCTCCATGCTGTAATATCTGAAGCGTTCTTTGTAAGAAGTGCACCGAGATGTTGGAAAGCCTTGACAATAGGTTGTGTTTGACTTAAAAGGGTATCGGCATCTAGAGTATAGGATGAGTTTGTTATACTTGATTATCAAATTCCGCGAGAAAAACCAATTTACCTTTGATGGCCAAGAGGAATTTTAGGGAATCTTCAACAGGATCGATGGACATTATACTAAGATGAGGCTGGGTTTGCTTAATGAAGCCCCAAAAGCTTACTCATGCTTCTATCTCCATGCGGAACAAATTCACGTGATATGTCAGATCTGTAACTGGTTGTACCCACAGCCTGTGACAGAACAAGATTTTCATATTTTCTCTGTATACATACAATATCTTTTATTTTCTCTTTATCCTCTTTCTCTTGCTTGCTTGCTTGTCTTTAATTTACTTTATTTTTTATTTATTTATTTATTTATTTTTGGTTGATGTTAATGT